TATATATTTTTAGTTGTCCAGATCATTTCTTTCTATTTTTTAGTAGAGATGGGGTCTCGCTCTTGCTCAGGCTGGTCTCGAACTCCTCACCTTGAGCAATCCACCCGCCTCGGTCTCCCAGAGTGCTAGGATTACAGGCTTGAGCCACCACGCCCAGCCCATAGGTGACTTTTATTGCCAGCATGTTTTCATTGATTTAGTAAAACTGTATTGACTACTGAATATGTCATGTGCATACCACTATACCAGGGATAGTGAGCAGCACAAAGATAAACAACTCTAGTACATATTTTACTTTCTTTTGTCCAGATCATCTCACAAAACATTTGGTGGAGAGTGCTACAGTGTGTAATCTTTGTTTTGATTTAAAGCAGACTTTTGGGGTAGCTATGCCAGCTGGTATTGATAATAACTGGTTATTATTATCAATTGATAATAATTGGAAACATCTTTGAAAGCTAATGTTAAGTACATGGCCATATATCAATATTATCAACACATATTTTTAGTTTTGTAATTTTTTTTCTGCCTTTCTATGTAAATGGGGAAGGAGAGAAGAGGAAAAATAAACTCTAACCTGTAGTTATTTCTTACTTATGTTTGGGGTGAATAGCTGGTACTTTAATGTTGTTTAAGCACAATGAAAGACATGTACTATACTTATTATTACTCTAAGAAAAGATAATGTTTTTGAAGCGACTTATATGTTGGCCCTAATAGTAAATGATTTTTCTACATTTCATTCAAGATAGAAAAAACATTATCTGCCAAGAATAATTGTTTTTATTTCTTTGTTGCTTGGTTCTTTGTTTGATTTAATTACAGAAGAATCCAAATAAGATCGCTTCTGGCCTTTTCCTGCGTTTGTTAACATCAAAGCTGATGAATGACATTGCAGATATTTGTAAAAGTTTAGTAAGTATGCTTCCTATTTTGCTACCATATTTCATTGATTCTAATATGTGTAATTTTTTCTTATTAAAATATCTCTTAAATAGGGATGCATCTCGATATATAGATAGCCTCTTATATTTTTATAAATGTGGAAATTAAACAAAATTATTTGATTTTGGGGGGAAAATATTTGATTACTTCTTAATATCAATACTTACATAGTGCCTGCCTTTAGTTTCTCAATAAGTAATAGACTAAAAGATTTGGAACTAATCATCCAGGCTCATACCTATTTCTATGCAACATTGTACCAAAATTCAAAATAATTTTGTTCTTTAAAAAAGACCGAAAGCCTTGCCAGACAAGCAACATATTCTTATTATAGTATTTATTTTTCTTCTTCTATACAAATGGGCTTATGCCACACACACACTGTTGTCTCGAACAGTGCCTGGCACACATAATAGATACTATTGAGTGACAAAATATTCTGTAACTTGACTATTTTCATTTTATGACACATCTTGGTCATTTTTCCATATTGCTATACATTTTTATAAGCTATCTACTGCTGTACCCTATTTAATTATTTATTTATGAATGAATGAATGACAGGGTCTCTCTTTGTCACCCCAGCTGGAGTGCAGTGGTGCGATCATAGCTCACTGAAGCCCTGAGCTATTAGGCTCAAGTGATCCTCCTGCCTTAGCCTCCTGTGTAGGTAGGGCTACAGGCATGAGCCACTGCACCCAGCTAATGTTTTTACTTTTTGTAGAAACAAGATTGAACTGTGTTGCCCAGACAGGTCTTGAACTCCTGGCCTCAAGTGATCCTCCCTCCTTGGCCTCCCAAAGTACTGGGGTTATAGGGGTGAGCCACTGTATCTAGCCTTTACCTTATTTATTTAGCACTGCATGCTATTCCACTATGTGAGAATAGTATATGTACCTGTTTTTAGCATATCTGCTCTTAATTAACATTTTAAGTGGTTTCTAATTTTTTGGTTACAAAGAATTTTACGGTAAAGATTGTTGTACTTTTATTTTGTCTACTTGTATGTATGCACATGATGGATGTAGGACAATTTCTAGCAATGGACTTGCTTGTT